ATTAGAATTTTTAAATTAAGCTCGTTCCAAGCTGTGTTTTATTCGGATACAGCTGACACAGGGCATCGGAATTCCAACACAGGGCGCCGGAATTACAAATTAATAGAGTTTGAAGCGCTGCCAGAATTAGTCTCACAAAATGCCAAATTTATTTACACACAGCGTCAGAATTCAGGGATTTTGTAGGTTTGAATTCTAAAGGCTTTTAAATAAATATGGCAACAGTTTGTGACATTTCATTGTTGCTGGCGCGTAGTGTGGTGTTTTGAGAGTGACATAACCCAATCAGAACTTGAGTTGCGCATACAGTGATCTATTTATAGCCATTCATTTCTTGCTACGTATAATATACCGCATTTACCCTATAAACAATAAGAGAGATACTTAGAAGTTTTTTAATGTTAAAAGCATTGGAATCTATATGGAAATATGAATTTTTGGTAGGCATTTAATGATGTTAAACCTGACTTTGATAAGTATTTCTGTTTTGAAAAAAAAAATTAGAATTTCTCATCTATTGATCCTTGAAACTTATGTTTGTGTTGTCTGTCAATATCTGATGCTGTGATAGCTGTCTAATGCAGGTCGGGAAAAGTCTTACTTTTTCTTGAATATTGGGGCTCAATTCTGCTCAAATAGCATATAATTTCTGTAGGTATGAAATCTTGCAGCTCCACTGTCATGTATTTTTGTTTGATTGAAAAAATTGTGGTTTGCATTTTGCAAACAAATAATTATCATTTCATAAAATGTTCAACTTCTGCAGTCCACAGTACTCTCATGGTCAGGAAGATGTGCCAGCCTGCCAGGTGCGAGGGAATTTATATTGTCATTTTATCAATCTGCTCTGTGCACCCTAATGTGCCGGTAAAAAAATGCGCCGTGCTCCAGAAGTTGTTTAAAAATGAATATGCAGGCAGCACAGCAATGGGCTGCAATGCCATCACACAGAAATGTTTATCTGCATTGAGTTCACTAGATTTCTAACTTTGAACCCAGCTTATAAGTGTTGGTACAGTTCTGAATATTTATTCATTATTCATAGATCACAATTCGGTTTGACATGAATTACAAAACTGAAAAATAAAAGGTAACAATCCACATGGCTTGAGATTGGTGCCTTCTAATGAAGGACTGATTTTGGCAAATAGTACAAACCCGTATGTCAATGTCGGGAATATGTTACGTTCCCAACATCCTCCTGGCCAGTGGAATGGGTTTGCATGGCGCAAACACATTGAATAAAAAAATACAAGCACCAGATTTTTTCTGGTGCCTGTATTTTTGTTGTTGTTTGTTATAACTGTCAATTTAGTTGTCAATCTTGCTAATTTTTTCTTAAATATGTGCATGGGACTTTGTAAATGAGCTTGCAGTTCATAACTGGATTTTCATGGATTGAATATACTATTCAGGGCTCAAAAAATTGGATCACAGCTTGCTAATCATGGCTCAAAAAATCCAATTGTGGTTCAGAGAGTTGATTTTTCCTCACTAGCTGTCAATAAAATGTTGACAGCTGTCAATCAAAGATCCGCCACATCAAGCGATCAGTCAACATGGAAGAATTACGTGCACAGTAGTCTAAAGATAGTATGTACTAAATGTAAAAAAACTTTCTAAATTGGAAGGAATAAAGTGAGTTTTTGGAAAATTTAGCAATTCAGTAGCAAGTCATTGATATTTCTCCTAATTCCTTTGTTATATGCTTAAGCCCAATTCTATTGCAAATAAGAAAATTAGTAGGTACATCTGTTGTTGAATTGTAATTTCCAGTTAAGGGGAGCATCTGCCCCAAAAAATATCTGGGATATCAACAGACGGATCGATTAAAAATTTGGTTGGTACCTACACGTATGTAACACGGAATTCTGTTTTTTTTTGTTCATGTGAATTTTTCGAAAAATTGAAAGAAAACGTGAAATTCATAGAAAACTGACGAAAAGGGGGTACTATAGAAATCTATCTCCTCCTAGGATTTCCAAGCTACAACATCGAGACACAGATCATTCAATGCGTAAAGACCATATCTACAACTGATGTAGAGGGTTGTTCAAATTTCTCATTTTTGTGAGTGTGGGAGCATTTTTTCTGAACTCTTTCAAAATTTTCCAATTTCACCCCTCCCCCGCCCCCCTTTTTGCAAAATAAAATCCCAACTATAACGAACTTGGAAAAAAGCTCCACATCAGTTGTAGATCTTTTCTTTGCAAATCAAACAGTATATCTCTCATTGTTGTAGCTTCAAAACTCTAGGAGGAGATAGGTTTGCAGTGACAATAAGTTAACTTTTCAGTAGGGCCCGACAAAGTCGCGCGCGCCTCAAAAAAAGACATTCAAGATTGCAAGGTTGCAAGACTAGACGATATTTGAGCTCAATTTCTGTCAAGGATGGTGTGAACCACGGCACGAGAACCATCCCATATGACTGCAGACGGATAACTTAAGCACAGCGTGTTCAGACTAGCTATTTAAGTGTGCTACCGGTGATTTTGGCCTATATTTAATGTTGAAGAACTCCACCACCCCTAACCATTTTGCACTCTGTCGTAAACGCATAAATCAACGTACAGAGATGGTTTTGGTACCGTTAGATGCGTCAGAATGTAAGCTTTAATTAAGATGAGCATAAAAACCAAAAAAGTCAAAATTTTCGATTTTTGGGCAGACGCTCCCCTTAAGCCTGGTAGTTGTTGTGTGCATGCCAGGGTTTCTATTTATGTATTGGGATGTATGTTTGTACACCAGTGATTTGATTTTTCATGTCACACCAACACCAAGCAGGCTAAAAACGTACCACAGATACAGTACGTCTGAGTTTTGGATGCACCTGCACCAAGTCTCTTGATGATGTTACCAATGATTATAGGAAAATTAAACAATTTTGTGATAAAATTTAGATATTTTTCCTAAATCCATACTTGTGTGCTGAAGCTTAATTCTGTGCATGTATGAAAATTATTTTGTCTGTCAGAAAAGTGAAATTTTCAATTGAGATTAGCAGAGGCATGATGTGTACCTGGTGCAGGCTGGAATTCTAGAATACTGTGGACTGTTTTCATCATTTTTGGGCGGATACCCATTCCAGCTGTGATTGGTTGTGATGTCATCCATTCCAAACTGTGATTGGTTGTGACGTCATCCATTCCAGACTGTGATTGGTTGTGATGTCATCCATTCCAGACTGTGGTTGGTTGTGATGTCATCCATTCCAGCTGTGATTGGTTGTGATGTCATCCATTCCAGCTGTGATTGATTGTGATGTCATCCATTCCAGCTGTGATTGGTTGTGATGTCATCCATTCCAGACTGTGGTTGGTTGTATGATGGCCTTTTCAATATACTATGTTAACTGGTTAATGGAATGCCATCAACCGGGGCTACTCTGGACAGGCGGGGTAACTCGGGACAGTCCTCCGACACGGCGTAAAACTGTTTTAGTAGCAAAACTAATTGGAAAATTTCAAAACTAAATATAGTGGCGTAAACGTCAAAATTTTTCCTATCTATGTAGTATAAAGGAAGTTCAAAAATACTACATTTACCTACTAGCTTTGAAAAATTCCCCAAAAAAATGGTGAAAAACAATATTTGAAAAGTTACTTCTGCTAAGGTCTGTATTAAAAAAATATTTGCCGTATTAACAAATTTTGCTTAGAATAAAGTGGCAGACAAGTGTCAGCATGAAAACTTTATTTGTGGAATTTGCTTACCTCAATCCCCCCAAAAATTGTGGCTATTTCCGCATGGCAGGGCTACTCGGGACTCCCCCTCGGGGCTACTTGGGACACCCCCAAAAACGCATTTACAGTAGAACCTCAGTTAGCAAAGGCTCCAGTTGAGAAAAAAATTGATTAAAAACAAAGAATATTGATTACTACATTTACCTTGCTCAGCAAAAAAAATTTCACTTATTGAAAAATTATTGCAACATTGGTCATCACAAAATTGTGCATAGAATGTCATATGTAGAATTATGCACCAGGCATCATAGAATGAAAAGTAATTGACCTAAACTATGATTTATTTCTCCAAAACATATGATGGTTGTCACTGAAACATTCCTTTCTGTTTCAGGTATGTTTTTCACAATCTTTTTTTTATAGTAAATTCACTTAACCCAATTAAAATGGTGTGAAATTACAAGCCGTCCTGTAAGCTTACAGATACAGAAAAAATGCTATAAGGCTGCTGATGTGAAGCTTGTAGTGGACAAGGTTGTTGTAAATGCTCTGGCATGTTCATGGATACGGTAATATCGCATCAATAATATGGTAATATTGCATCAATAATACGGTAATTAATGTATATGGTAATATCATATCAATAAAGGAAAAACAAGTAAAAATCACAGAAAATGTCATTTGTTCTACCTCTAAATCATCTACAATGAAAGAGGACTTCAGAGTACTGTTAGTAATGGATGACTACGCTCTACATGCTTCAAATGTTTTAAAATGAAGTTTTATTCCAAGTGTCCCGAGTAGCCCCGTTTGACGGGGCTACTCGGGACACTTTTTTTTTGCTTCTGGCACCTTACGAATAGCATATGGAATTTTTTGGAGAAGCCATGTGATAGCCCTTGCAAAGAGCTTTGAAATGAGCCTAAACTTGCTTATGAAATGTTTCATGGTAATAAGTTATGAATGAAAAATGTTCAAAATCGTCCTGAGTAGCCCCGGTTGACGGTACTACACTGCTGGTAGCCTCTAAACTCAAAGCACAGGATGTGATTAGCCACTTTGAGCTGAGATTTCTACATATATTAGATATATTGTTTCTACATATAAAAAATTTCTGGCTAAAAGACGATAAGGTCAAAGTTAATTGTTATAATGTACAAAAATGTTGCTTATGGTTAAAACATCAAGAATTTTCACAATTTGTTCAGAAATTAGAATAATTTATTCTGAAATTTATTTTGCCCATTAGCTCTTCCTTCTTCATACCTATGATGTTCGCTGTAATGTCTTTGATGTTTTCTGAATGTGTGCAGCTCAGGCAAAATGTACTGGTCTGGTGGAGATTCAGAGCCTCCTGACACATGTCAGCTGCCAGCAATGGCTGGGTCTTCATCAGCTGCAGGAACCACTCCACAAGTGCAACAAGAACTGCATCAGCTACAGGTTGTCTTCTCTTTTGGAAAATGTATTAATGTAATTTATGTTGAGTGTCTTAAATTTGTTGCATAGGGCACTAAATTTGTTGCATAGGGCACTAAACTGAATGTTTTCTGTCCAACTGGTGCCTTTAGAAGTCTTGTGAAGGATGATTGCCACAGTGGGGCTTGGTGATATGGATCATGTTTATTGTGGCTTTTCTGTGCTTATGATGTTTGATGATGTGTCATTCAGTCATTGTTCTACAGGTTAATCAATGAGTATCTTGTAAGATCTGTATAGGTTTGGTGGGTGGTGGACTGGGGGTGTTTGAAGCATGGTCCTCAGGTTGATTGTTACCTATATTGTATTTTACTTTGTATATGTAATTCTTCTGCACTTACACTGCATTAAATCGTCATTCATTTCTGTAGCTGACTTGCCTCAAGACAGTCATTGAGGTGCATTTTGACAAATGCTAGGCAGGAGCTGATTGCAGCAACCAAAATATATATCAAAGTTAAAATGAAATGCTTTTTCACTTGAAAATGAACTGGAAAAATCAAATCCAGATCCTAAGGTGTGAATAAAGTGTAGGGAATTCAGAGTTTATTTTTTATTATAATGTTCAGCATAGCTTGTGTGCAGGTGTTGAAAAGAACAGGAATGTGTGTTGAAGCGTTGTAGTATGACGCGGTTGTTTCCATGGCCATGAGAGGTGGTGCTGTTTACATTGAACGTTAGCGAGCCTATCGCGAATAAAATTCCTTCAGTTGAGGAATTAATTGTCACTTTGAGGGTAGGCATAACTGTGCGCGACGCTGGCCTATATAAGGACCCTGAAATTCGCGATTCGCGCCAAAGGTTGTTCTTCTGAAGTTACAGTCACCAGCTCGTTCTGCAGTTTGCGAACGTTGTGACAGCCGCGGCCTTGATGCCAGCGGTTTTGCCGTTTTCGATCATTGGCGGGCGCGAAAAACCTGGACTCATCGAGGCAACTACAATTCCTGTAAGCGCTCTAAAATTTACAAAAACGGCCACGACTTCGACATATTTATGTACGGTCAACATCAACACTCCGGCTGCGATTCAGCCATGAGACTACGCTAGAGGCGGCGTGACGTTCAATAATTAAAACGCCGGTAATCAGAAGTTTCAAGTTTCGAACACTGAGCAACAAGTAACATCGGTACGGTCATCAACACGATACTGTCACCGTTATCATCAGTACCTATCGGTTCGGTCATGATCGCGGGCAGCAGATGTTCGGCAATGAACTTTGAGTAACACAATCGACGATGAAGACAAAGCTGCTTTTCAGAAGCACGGTCGCTGTATAAATTCTACGGTTAGACCGGCTGTGATACATCAATTAAAGTGCGAAGAATACGGCTATGAAGACAGCGCGACTGTGAAATAGGACGCGTGTCTATGGCTGCGGTACGGCCTCTGGAAATACGGCCCCTAAACATGTGCGTGAAGTGCGGTCGTTTACGATAGTCGTACTACTCAACGGAACTGCAACGGATCAACGTTTCTGGTAAACGTAGGAGATTTTAGTGATGTAAACTGATAGATTCTTAACTTTGATTGAGTTGGGATTACCCTTGCCATTTACTGAAGATTTTTGTTAATGTAGGATGGGAACTTGAATTGCCCAATTTAATATTAAATCTACCAGTGTTGCATTGCAAGCCTCTATCTGTAAGATTTTTGCCATAACCGATTTCATACAAGAACTTATTACACCAATACACCGTGGAAAGCCTTAGACGCTACAGACGCAACCTGACTAAATGAGAGCCGATCAATAATAAAATCATGATCCAAAGTCACGATCAATAATAAAATTATAACAATGAAACCAATCTTCTATCTTTAAATTTTTATGAACTAATCATGGTGTCCGGTGTAGGGTTTGAAAGGTTTATGTCTGTGTAATACCTGCTGCGATTTTTAGAGCTATGCTTTCAAATGATTGATGGTAGTTTTAGAGTGTGGATGAAGTTATGAGTCTGTCTGTTTGCTTGGCATTGAAGCTGTGCAATGATCATGTTACAGAAAAATGTTTGAACTGATGCTAGTGATATCTTTGTTATTCTTGCTAATGATCTTCATTACAGGGAGCAAGTTGAGAACTCGATTCAGTGAAGGCAATTTCTTTGTACTCTTTGTGAACAAAACAATTTTAGTTGTTTTCTCTATGTTGTCAGCAACATCACCCGTTATGAATATTAATGAGTGATTCTCTGCTGAAAGTAAAGATAGAATTGTAGGCAATGAACTTAGTGTGACTTGTGTTGACCAAATTTCTCCATGTGCAGGAACAGTTGGCTGCTCAACAGCAACTATTGGGAAATTTGAAGAACAAGATGCCTCAAGCTTCCTCCCAGGTACTGAGATCTTCGTTTCGGAAAACTTCATTGTGACTATATATCTAATCACATTTGTAACTGATAATACTATAAAATGTGTGCAAATATGAGATGAAAGTCTATCTACTTGGTAACTTTTCAGGATATCACAACTCGCCTGGCTGCCATGCGGAGTCGTTTGAACCGACCGCCACCCAAGCATAACAAGAAAACTGACGCCAAACTTCCCTCTGACATTGTTGACTGTCAGATGTTACACACCGAATCTATGAGCGTTGACTCTTCTACTCAGCCTTTTGAAGTGGTCCTCAAGGAGAGTGAGCGAGGAATGCTGTCAGAGAGCAGCAAGATGGGAGGGAGTTTGGCTGACGTGAGTGTCATGTCAGGTCATGTCAGGGCTCTAGACGCGAGCTCTCAGAATGCTGCATGCGACCCTTCCATTGAAGGCATTCCGAAAAAAGCCAGAACCTCGTCGTTCTCTGAAGGATCATCTCAATCGAAAATTCAGCTCCTAAGAAAACAGTTGGATGAAAAAAGAACTAAGTACGAACGACAACAACGTGATAACAAAGAAAAGAAAGCAAGTATGGACGAAATGAAGAAGAAAATGGAGAAACTTAGATGTGAATTGGAACAGAGAAACGATTTCATTCAAAATTTGGAGAAAGGTATCATTCCCCTGCACTCTCAGCCCACCACCCAACAGCTCTGTCAGCAGCTGCTACAGAAAGACGCCATAGTTTTAGGGCTGACAGCGCGTGTTGCAGAGCTAGAGAGTCAGTGTCAGGATCAGGCTGACCAGCTTGGTGAACGAGACAGCTTAATTGAAGCACGCACTGAAGCAGTAACTCTCATCACCAAGGACCGTGACGAGAAGATTATGAAGATGATGGAGGATCTGGAGGAGCGAGAGAACTGCATGCGTGACTTGCAACACCGCCTCACTGCGCAAGAGGAGAAGTGGAAATCTGAGCGAGATAACCTGACCAGAACATTGGCTGAGAGAAGCAGTCGACTGGCGCAAGTTGAGGAGACCCAAAGGAGAACAGAAAGCATCAGGTTCGAATTGGCTGCACGGAATGCAGAGTTACAGGAGAAGATAGTGAGCTTGCAAAGCAACCTAACCGAGGTGACAGCCAGTATGGAGGAGGAAAAAACGAAAAATCAGCTGAGCCAGAATTCTATTCAGGACCTCAAACAAAAGTTGTGCAAGGCTGAAGCCCACGGCAAAAGTAAACTAAAGAGCTTAGAAAAGCAAGTTAAGGCCATTAAAACTGGTGAAGGACAACCATCCGGGCAAAACATACTAGATCTCCATAACCAGATTGCTGAGCTGGAAGAGGAGAAAGGTAATCTTCAGCTCCGTCTTGTCGACTTCGATGATTTAAAGAGTGCCAACAGTACCCTTGAAGAAAGCGCAACTGCTTTAAGAAAGAAATTGGACGAATTAACCAAAGAATTAGATGATAAATCTGTATTCATTTCCACGTTGGAGAATGAAAAAATTAAGCTTGTAGAACTATTGAACGACCGAGAAAAGAAAATGGTTGATCTGGAAATAAATTCATCTCATCTACAAGTAGAAGTTCATGAGATCTCAAAAATCAAGTTGGAATTGGAAGGTAAAGTGAAAGAGTTGAACGATAAGAATGAATTGATCAGTGGTGAGCTCGCTGAATTGCAAAACGAATTTAAACTACAGATTGAAGCTAAAGAAAATACTTCAAGTGACAACGATAAAGAAGAACTTGAAAAAAATCTTCGTGAATTGACCAAAGAACTTGAGTCTGCAAGAAAACTCTACGAAATTCGTGAGAAGGAAGTTGAAACTCTCAAGGAGAAGGCCAAGTCATGTGAACTTTCGGAACAAGAAACACTGGAGGCGAATCAGAGGCTGCTTGGTATCTTAACAGACAAAGAGAATAGTCTTGCTAGTTACGCCATTGAGATGGACTCGTGGAGCGATACTAAAGCGCAGCTAGAGAACGAGATACGGGAACTGCACGAGCGATGCCAACGAATGGAGCTGGAGGCCGAGAGTGAAAAAGCCACTCAAGTGGACGAAATGAGGAGGCTGCATAAACTTCTTGCTGACAAGGATTCAGAGCTCGAGAGTCTCTTGGATGAGCACAAGATAGAGATTCAGAAACTGCTTGATAGCGTAAGGCAGACAGAAAGTCTACAGGACAAGCTCTCTGAAATGGAGGAGCTATTTGACCGTACAGGGGATGAACTAGCCAGCTTCAAGAAACGGAACTCAAGACTCGAAAAAGCTATTGCTGATAATGAAAAGGTTATTTCAAGCTTAAAAACAGAGTTGAAAAACTTGCAGGAAGCTCTTGATGATAACAAGGAAAGGATATGGAATTATGAACAGTTAGTCAAGGAATTGAAATCCGATGCTCGGAAGACGGAGCAAAATGCTGCGAAGTTAGCTGAGCTTAAGAAAGAAACTGAAAAATGTCTCGAGAACAAGAGCAGAGAACTGGAAAAGTTGCAAAAGGATCTAAATAATTCCCAGAAGATGCTTGAAGATGCTCAGGCAAACTTGATTGACAGAACTGAAGAAGTGACTTCTTTGTCTTTGGAGCGGGAATCTCTTCTTGAGCAGGTGCGGGAACAGCAGAGTCTTGCTGACAACAAGCAGCAGCAAATAGCTTCTCTGGCTGCTGAAATTGCATCCAGAAGCAGCGGTGTTTTGGAGCAAGATTCTGTAGTGCAAATGTCCACAGCCGATGCTGACTTTATCAAAAAGTGTTATGAGGAAATGGAAGCCAAGCTAACCTTGAAAAATAAGCTCCTTACAGACGTCCAAAATCAGCTGGACGCCTGTATTTTTGATGTTAAGCAGTGCCAAGCAGAGCTGCTGGAGCGTGAAGTCACTATCCAAGACCTGACCACAAGACTTGCTCAGAATGAAGATCGTGAAAATCAACAACGCGTTGGTATTCAAGATTTGCAATCCAACTTTGTTACAGAGCAGAAGGCAAACGAAGAACTTCAGAGTAATCTCCTACAGGAGCTAAAACTTCGAGAAGAATTACAAAGGTCACTAACTATTGAACAGACGACTCGAAGTGAGTTGTACGATACTCTTGAGCAGGAAAAGGAATTACGTGCTGAATTGCAGAATAGTTTAGAGTCTTATCAGCTGGCGCAAGAGAGTGTCCAGCGCCAGTGTGACTTCATGAACAGCGAACTAGCCCGCAGCTCAGAACTAACTAGCTCACTATCAGCGCAAGTTACTGAGCGGGATCAGCAGCTGACTGAGTTACAACAAGAATTGAATTCCATACAACAGGTGTTAAATGAACGCGAGCAACAGCTGGCTGAGGTGCAACGTAACTTGACTGATAGCAACTCGCAGCTTGCTGAGCTGCAGCTAAAGCTTGCGGCACGCGAGAAGCAGGCAGAAGAGATGCAGCAGAAGCTAGACGCAGCGACGTCTCAACTGGAAAAGTCTACGATGCAGTGCGCTGAGGTGAGTGCATATCAAGAGCAAGCGGCTGCCAACGCCACGGCTAACGAACAACAGCTCCAGTGGAACCAGGATCAGGTCATGCAAATGCAGCTCGACCATGAAAGCAAACAAAAGCTAATTGAGGAGATGCAGTCCCGCATTGAAGAGCTCGTAGCTCAGGCAGAGCACAAAGATGCACAGACCAAAGAATTTCTGAGTGAGTTGAATGAGCGCCAGCAGAGAATAAGCTGCCTTGAAAGCGAGTTAATGGCGATTAAAAGTGAGTACGATGTTCTGATGGAACAATACCAGTCGGCCAGTTCCTATTATTCTTCACTGCAAGCAGAATACGAAAACTTGAATCAGAGTTCGTTGAGCGTTTCATCTGAACTTCAACTGAAAACTACAGCACTGCAAGAGGTTTCCGATAAAAATGTTTATCTGGAAGCAAATTTAGACGAATTGCGAAGATCAACGGCTGAACGCGAGTCTTCTCTTCAGAATTATATTGAAGAATTGAAGGATAAAAATTCTTGTCTTGAATCGCAGCTTGCAACTGTGACCGACTCGAATGTTGTTAACTTTGGAGTAAATGAAAATCGGACTGAGATCGAAGCTAGTCAGCGAAGAATTAGAGAATTGGAAGAGCAGCTAAATGAAGCAGTCGTTGCGAGAGATTCGGCGCGCAGTGAACTTGCAACAAGAACTAATGCCGTTTCAGTTGGAGGGGAGCGACATCTGGAAGAACGATGCCGGATGCTAGAAGCTCAACTGGAAGACGCTGCCCTCAAAATCGCACAGCTGGAGACGAGTTTGGGCACAGCGAGCGGCGGCGCGGTGGAGCGACAAAACAGCCTCGCCTCTGAGGAACTCGGCGAAGTGGATCTCGGCGGCGACGGTGGCCGCGCCTCGCCCGAGCTGCGAGGTCTGCAGCAAGCCTTGCTGGAGAAGACGGCTCTGGTGGAGCAGATGCAGGAGCAACTCACTTCCCTCAAACATTCAGCGCACTCACAGCAAGAGGAAATGGCGTGGCTCAATCAAAAGATACAAGGCTTACAGGAGACCAACAAGAAACTTGAGGACCGCAGACAAGAGTTACAGCAACAGCTGCTACAGGAAGCCGAGCAGAACTCCACGCTTTGCGAGAAAATCACATCGCTCGAGCAAACGTTAGTAGATGTTAGAGAAGAGTTAAGTGCTTCCCAGAGCTCGAGTTCTGATCTCATAGCTACTCTCAATCAACAACTAGAAGAACGCAATGCGCTAGCTTCAAGCCTCACGTCCGAGCTAGAGGCGGAGAGAGCGCAACGCCTGCACCTTGAGAATATTTCTATTGATAAAAAGCCTTCCAGTGACAAGCAAGTAGATGAAGTCATCGCGAGCTCTGAGGCAGTACAGACCTATGGTACTGCCAGTATGTTGTTCTCTGTAGCCACTACTGCTGAAGCTTCCGCCGCTTCTTGGTTCTCTGATCACTCAGCCGAGCAGAGAAGCGCCGTCGATCTCATGCCAGCGCCCTTGCTGGAAGAGCAAACACTACAACCACCAGCCACCACCGCAACTCTTGTGGCTGACGATGCCGTTGGCGCGGCACAAGAAGCCGACGTTAACATCGCCGAGATGCAGTACAAGCTTGCCTGGTACGAGGAGCAGTGGGGTCCTTTCACCACTCTGTATAACGAGTTACTTCAGCAACACGAAGAGGCCAAAACCAAGATATCCCAACTCACTGCTCTCATCGATGCTACGTCTGAAACTGGAGTAATTCACTGTGAGTCATCGGTGGAAGGTGAAGCACATGCAAGAACCGACGTCCCATTAGGCGCTTCTGTGGCCGGTGGATCGAGTGATGAGCAGATGAGTTTATCAAGCGAGCCATACGCGGCTCTCTTAGCTCAATATCAAGAGTCTTGTCGACGTGTAGAATTGCTAGAGCAACAACTGCATGAACAAAAACAACAACTGCAGCAGACTCTTCCTGTCGGGAATGCCGTTGTCGCGGCTGATGTTGCGGCTGCGACACAATCAATACACGCTACAAGTACACAATCTGCTGCCTCATTCTTCACCAAGTCAGGCCAGGTATCGTCATCAGGAGGTGCAAATTTCTTCGATGCTGCCCCTGCTAAGTTAGATCTGCAAGCAACGTCCCCGAGCCTCGAGGAACGTTTTCTTGCAGCGACACGTGACAATGAACGCCTGCTGGGGGAGGTGACTGAGGCCAAGAAAATATTACTGGAGACGACGGAGCAGCTCCATGCGGAGCAGATCAGCTTGCAGCGAGTGCAGGCTGAGCTGCAGCTCATTCAGCAGGTCAGTTCCTGGTCATATAAAGAAATGCTTTCTTTTTGCTCCGTAACTAAGCTGATATATTCATTATTCTTATTTTAGTTAAGGGTAAAATCATTCGGTGCTTGAGCATTTGACAAGGCTTAATAATTACAACTTAGTGTTATTAATTCGTGCTGGAGAATAGGTGTAATTTTTTTGCACACAACTGAATTAAACATTTACAATTTCATTTAACTTGTATGATCATGAACGAGTTGAGCGAAAATCGACCAGATTTTGAGCTAAAAAGTAAGAAACTTTATTGCACTGCAGGGCGGCAGCGGGAGGATGACGGAGTTGGAGCAGATGGTGGGCAGCGCTGAGGCAGAGATCGCCAAGCTGCGGGGGCAGCTCAATACTTCACAAGTCAGTGTTTTGATAACCAACTGCTACCTATATCAACCGTTGTGACTTCACAGTACACCGTCATAAGTCTGTAGCATGATAACCAACTGCTGTAGCTACCGTTGTGCCTTCACAGTACAGTCGATTCCTTGATTTTACTTGCTGATCAAAATGTTTCAGATCAATATTACCTCTATTAAACGTGTTTCTTCATGCTTACAATTTGCTCTTCTGTGAATAGGAGTTTTTCTGTGAACAGGAAGAGCTCAACAGGCTGCAGTCACTCGTGCTGGAGCTGGAGGAGTCCCAGGAGGCCAGAGACAGCAAAGCTGCGGGCCAGCTTGGCAGCCTCGAGGAGTCGCTTGGGCTGCTGCGTCGCGAGAACAGCACCCTCAGGAGTGAGCTCGAGGTGATGGAGGGTGAGAACTCGCGTCGCTCCACCGACATAGAAATTCTCGAGTCCGAAAACACGAGGCTCAGGACAGATCTCGAGACCTCGAGCCAGGCAGCTCAGATGCTCGAAGCCGAGAAGGAAAGTCTTGTAGTGGAGATCCAACGGCTTGAAACTGGGATGAAGAGATTGAGAGAACAGGTGGCGCAGGGTGATGAAGCTCTCACGCAGTCGTCGGACCAAATTCGAGCCTTGCATGAACAGCTCTTGGCTACACAAGAACAACTGATGCATCAGCAACAACTCTCGGCACAACAACATGAGCAGCTTACGGCTGCAGAACTGAAGCTTCAAGAACAATTGGTAGAGCTGCAACAGCAGCAACTGTCTACTCAGTTGGCAGAAGCAGCTGCTCAACAATGTCTGCAGGCACAGGAGGCAAAATCAACTGCAGGCCCCGCAATCGAGGCTCACGAGCTTCATGAAGAAGAGTTAGACTGGGGATCAGAAGGCTGCAAAGACGTCGAGCATCTGCAGCGATCGTCTTCGCAAGATGCTTCCCTCAGGGAGGAAGTGCGCACTCTTAAAGAACAGCTCATTGCTGCTGAGAAGGAAAGGAATGGTCTATCAGACGACTTACAAGCCGCGAAAATTAAATCGGGCAAGCTTCTTCAGAAAGTCAAAGGGCTTCAGAGCGCTAACGAAGCGCTGCAAAAGGATGTCAGCAAGTTGAAGTCGAAGGGCGGCTTGTCTGATTTAGACCAGGCTCTGGAAGAAGAGTTCAAGCATCAAGTAGCACAGGCTCAAGCCGAGCGAGACGAGTTAAAGCAAAAGTTGGAAGAATTCGTCAAAGAAAAAGATCAGCTCACGAGACAAAACGAGGTTCTGAAAGACGCGCACGACCGACTAATAGAGATCAAAGAAGATCAAGAAGCTCAAATAAGAGTATTTAGCATTCGTAATCAAGACCTGGAGGCCAATGTGGGCTCCTTGGAGTGGAGAATCAGCGAGTTGGAGGAAACCGTGGAAGAGGAGCGGAGACGACCTCGCGCGACCAGTGAAGCAACAATGAAGGAAGGAGACGAGCAACCCTCCTCAGAAGACACGAAGCATCTCAAGGACCGAATCATTGCCCTCGAGTCTCAACTGGATGAACTTAGTTCAAACTACATGAAAATAGAGTCCCTTAATAAAGACCTCAATGGAAGGCTCGGTGAACTCGAAGCTGAGAACGCACGTTTGTTGAGCATAAAAGAGAGTTTGGATGCTGAGCTCAAACTCTCCCAGCAAACTAATATCAAAGCTAATGAAGATGTTGGCGTCTACAAGGAAGCTTTCATCGAACAACAAGGACAGTTTGAGAAACTCACTGAGGAAAAGAACTCATTGAGCAATGACCTGGGTGCAACTGATTACCAGTTGCGGACTATGAAGAGCGCCTACAATGCGCTCTTTGAGGAGCATGAAGAGATGAAAGCTGACAACGCAGCCATGAAGTGAGTTGACCTGGCTCAGTCTTGTTGTTTTGCTTTAATTGTGCAGACTCCGGGCGTGAAGTGCTGGCTCTTTATATAGTGAAAAATTTCCTGCGCATCGTTCGACCTCAAGTTTACTGAAGTGGCTGCTGCCAGTGACTCATTGATGACTTTCTCTGAACATATATGTAATTTGTTAGCCGTTATAGTAACATTTACCAGGCCTTGTTACTAGGTCTTGATCAGAAACAAAACTGTTTATTATTGAGATCGAGGATCCCAAATTGATTTTCTAAAACACTATGTAATTTCAGTAATTCTGTCGATCTGACGGAGGTTTTTGGTATGGTATTCTCATATTTCATGGTAGCATGAAATATGATCCATCTCAACAAGAGATGATGGTATTTAAATAAGATTCCATCTCAAAGATTCGATATGTTAATAAAAACATACACGTTTGTAATTTTTTCCACTGTGATTGCAGACACGACTTCCTGACGCTGGAAGGTGAGCGCGACCGCTTGCTTGAGGACGTGGCGGGCCTCACCGCTGAGCTGGAGGCGTACAGGCAGGAGACCATCGAGGGCACCGTCAGGGGGCTCGAGGACGAGCTCGCCGCCCTCAGGGAGACCTGCAACGCCCTTAAGGAGGAGGTCAGTTCCGCTGCATGCGGTGTGTTCTCATGTCTGAATCCCGTCCTTCTTGCTGTGTTGACAAGTTTTGTGTCCATTTTTGGAGATTGTCTGTTTCCACTCCTGATTTTCTAATACAATGTCTTAATTTTTCTTCATGATAATTCTTTCTAAATTCTTCTTCATACGATTTTTGGGCTTGCAAGTGTATTGTCTCTAAAATCCAAGTTCTGAAACTCAATCCAAGTTTCGACTACGATTGATGTTTTTCAGATCGGATTCATTCATTAACATAACTTTATATGTACTTATGGCCTTGTATTCCGTTGATAATTTGTTTCCATTTTACTAACTCAACTTGGAATTTGGCTTGCCTTAAGCACAAGTATTTGGCGTCACTAAGACCTCATGTTAACCCGTCATCTAAAGGGACTAACTGAAACTGCGTGCATTTCCTAACACGCAACTGCAGGCCACTGAGCACGGCGCTCAGCAGGCCGCAATGCAGGACGAGGTCTTGAGACTCACTCGTGACCTACGCTTCAGCCACAGCCTGCTGGATGACCTGCAGACTCGCCTGCAGCAGGTCAGCCTTTCACTAGAATGACTCCTGAGAACAAACTTTGCTCTCTTCCTTTAGAATAAGGAAATGTTGAAAATTATTAAAGTACGAACAAATTACGAGGGAATACGACGGATCAACTATATTTCTCAAGGATTTACCCTTATTGGGCACTTGCCTATGTTATGCTAAATTGTGTGTTGGGCAGCAAGGATTTGAAATATTTTACCACGATTCCATGTCTATTTTTCATCACCTTAGTTTTATGAGTTACGAAAGTTGACCGTTATTCACTGCCGTGTTATGATTAGGTAAAGGTTGTTGTGAACTGTCACCTGATGTTCGCTTGCACGTGCAGAAGGAGCAGAACGAACGAATAAGCAACTCTGCTGTGGAGATGCTGGCGAGAAGAGAGCGCTACACCGAGGCCGAGTCTGCCGCCTTAGCTAAGCAAAATGAAACGCTTACTGAGGTGCGCTAATTATATCATTTTGATCAACGTTTCATACACCTGGTAAAAGCCCTCTGTCAGTCTCATAGTTTGGTGACTTATTTAACCTAAAAAACACTCATTTTGAGTAAATTCCTCATTAATGCTTTTATTTTCTCTGATTTCATGATACGCTTCTATAATGTAAGCATTGCAAGGAAAAATTCAGTTTTGCCTTCAAATGAAATCTTGCATATAATTGTCAAATATATAAAGGCACTACGCGTATTCACGATATATATTGCGCCAGGACCTGAAATTTTATTTGATTGAAGGGAGAATTGGATTGAAGTAAAGGGACCTAAGAATTAGATCAAAAATTGAAATTTGATTTCGTAATTAGAATCAATAAATATGATTAAGAAAATTAAGAAAAAAAATAAATCGTTTAGAAGCGAGAGTAAAATGAAATCGTATATTCTGTTTAAAATGTGGTTTTGAAGTTGTTTTATTGGTATTAGAATAGATAAGCTTATTGTTGTGTATGGGATTCAGAATCTCGGAATGACGGGATTGGGATTCCAACATTGCATGAATTATTAAGCTCGGACAGCTCCACTTTAACTTGCAAGCACATTTATATTTGATACCTGAAGATGCAAGCAAATGTGCGTGTAGCGCTGCAGTAATGGCCTGCTGGAGTAGCCCTAACTAGTGATGTGGCTGAGCAGGAACTGGCGCGACGCAGGCGCGAGATGGACAACCTGGAGGAGCAAGTGCGTCACTGGCAGCAGCAGACGCAACACCTCAGCAGACAGGTGCGTCACTGGCGGCAGCAGCAGACGCAGCACCTCAGCAGACAGGTGCGTCACTGGCAGCAGCAGACGCAGCACCTCAGCAGACAGGTGCGTCACTGGCAGCAGCATACGCAGCTCCTCAGCAGACAGGTGTTGGCAGCAGCATACGCAGCTCCTCCGCAGACAGGTGCGTCACTGGCAGCAGCAGACGCAGCACCTCAGCAGACAGGTGCGTCACTGGCAGCAGCAGGCGCAGCACCTCAGCAGACAGGTGCTCTCGCCGATCCTCGTTTCTGTTTCAGAATTAGTGTATACGAGTTCTTGTGCTAGTAAACTCCTCAAATTATTTCAATTTTATAGAGATGATTTACAAGTTAAGATGCATAATTACCATCAAGGTTGTGAGTATTAATTAGACTACAGTCTTGCAAAAAAGCCGATTTTCCTCCTCTCATTAAGACCTTTCATGAACTTAACTCATTACCAACTTACTACCTCTTTTTCCCCTCATAGGCTATATGTAGGGAATTGAGTAAAGCAGTTTAGGTCTGTATTTCATGTTAGTTAACATCCTCACCTACTACTACGTTGAGGCAGTTGAGGCTCGCTCCCTGCTCTGAAAAAAAAAACTTTCATCATCGCTCTGATGATAGCGAACATTGTTCGCCCAAAAAGTATTCGTATGATGACATGCATGCTGTGAATCTATGGTTCCCAAACTGTTGTTGACCAACACTTTTGCGGCTCATGCACGATTTGCCAAGTCAGTTATATTTCATTACGAAGATATTTTCGCTTTCTTTATACAAGATAATTTACCACGATTTGCGACTGTCGTCACACGCCTTCCACCTGTTCCAAGCGGCCCAAATGACAGCCATTGTTAAATTCACTAAGCATACCTAATTTACTCGCTCATTATCAGTTAGTCAACTGATGCCCCAGTTGTTGCTGGTGCAGTCAACTGAATCCCTAGGTGTGCAGGTAGTGGCAGCTGCCGCCCCAGGCGTTGTAGGTGTAGTCAGCTGATGCCCTAGGCATGTCAGGTGCAGTTAGCTGATGCCCTAGGCATGTCAGGTGCAGTTAGCTGATGCCTTAAATATTGCAGGTGCAGTCAGCTGATGCCTTAAATGTTGCAGGTGGAGTCAGCTGACGCTTCGTTGTCCCGCCTGAGCGAGGCAGCAGTGTCGCCTGCGGAGAGCAGCGCTGAGCTGGAGGCGGCGCTCGCCTCGCTGCACCTCAGGGACCTGCGCTGCCATCAGCTCATCATTGAGATCAATAAAGTGAGGCGCCACGTAACAACGCAAGACATTCAATTACATCGCCGCGCTACCATGTCCAGTGACCGTGTGTGCCCTGCAGTGTGCCGTGACAGTATGTGCAGTGTGCTGTGACAGTATGTACAGTGTGCTGTGACCGTATGTACAGTGTGCCGTGACAGTATGTGCAGTGTGCTGTGACAGTATGTGCAGTGTGCCGTGATAGTACCGTATGTGCTGCCGTGACGTGTGGCGCTGAACATTATGTGCAGTGTCACATGACAGTGTTCGCAGTGTCACATGACAGTGTTTGCAGTGTCACATAACAGTGTTTGCAGTGTCACATGACAGCCTGCATGTCTCGCTCCTCTACAGTTGGTGGAGGAGCGCGACTCGCTGCAGCTCCGTCTGAGCGCCGCCCTTCGTAGCAACCAGGACTTGGTGAGGCGCTGCCAGGGCGCCGCTGCCGACGCTGGCGAGGCGCCACTCGCGTCCCCTGCTGGCGACGACATCTCGCCGCCCCTCAAGACAAAGTCAGTGGGGACGCTTCTGCTCTAAGGCCGTACTATCAAAACTTGTTTAAGTGTATGTAGGGCTAAGTACACAAACTGCGGGCTAAGTAAAGAAACTGGCCTAGGTGCACGTAACAGCCTAGGTGCACGTAGCGGCATAGGTACACGTTACGGCTTAAGTACACGTAGCGGCTTGGGTGCATGTAGCAACCGATTTCTTGTCTGTGTGTCGTGCATTAAAATCCGTTAGTGTTTGGTTGACGGAGTTACAAACTCGTACCTATTCTTTCTTCGTACGGCCCCTGATACCAAACGCATGAGAAGACAACTAATATCCTGAGACTCAAGTGTCTTAGTAGAACTTTTGATTGACCTGTTGAACCAACGAAACGGCTGAGCAATTATTTACACGACTGTTTGTCTTAAACATCAAGGCGAGGTCGTTGCATTGTTTGGTTTGCATCTATCTAAATATTTTTTTCTTCCAGGTTGGACGAGCTTCGCGAGCTGAACGACGTGGTGGAACAGAAGACGATGGCGAGTGTGCCGCCTCACCCCACCATCGTCACCCCCGAGTACACCCTGACGAGGGAGACGCAAGCCACGTCCTCCACCCTCATAAACTGGATCATGGGGCGCACTACGCCCAGGGTGATGCACGTCTGACGTGGCGCTCTGCCTAGTGATGCATGTCTGACGCGGTGCTGACAACTCGTGCGATGGTTTATAGTTCAGCAGTTGCTGAAACTATCTAGTTGCATAGAATTTCTGGATGCATTCGTCGTATCGCCATTTTTTTGTTCTATTTGTGTAATAATATCGATAACCATCAGTTGTTGACCCAATATATGAGAATCTATTTATTATTTTATATACTTTTAGCTTGTACAAACACGGCTGTTGACATTGCTTGGGTAAAATAAGGATTGCGCATCAACTTGTGCGGGAGCTTCTGTTTTGGGTCGCGACGAGCTTGTGCCTTCGGCTTCTGTTTTGTGTCCCGACGAGCAATCCTGACGCCATAATCACGTCGGCTTACTCGCTAGCACTGGCTTTCGGCACGGAACATACGTGTTAGGCATTTAAAAACGGAGGAAAATTTGTTGACAGAAAACTTTGCCTTCCTATGCGCAAGGTCACGACATCTGATACGTCTAGACTCTAGAGAGCTATGCACCAGTTTCCAACATATACTTGTATTTACTTAAAGAGCATCGCTTGATGATTAGCCCAAGTAATGATGACTAATAAGGCTGTAGTTCAATTTTATAAGGGGCGTTGTTGGTAAAAGTGAGTTCAGGTAGTAATTTGATTGATGTAAATAAAATAAACTTTATATCGTTCATGAGTGTTTCGATCGTTCAGTATTCTAGCTATCGTAGGTGATATAAACACAAGCCTCAGTTAGTAATTTTTTTACTTTTGCAATTTTTTTTGTTAATGTTAGAAGACAGAATAGAGCGATGTGTACACTCCTGTGAGAGGATGACTGTGAAATTTCACGATGAAACAGAAAATATACAATTTCCACTGAATTGGTTCAATCTAACAAAATGGAATGGTTGTTATATCTTAACAGATGATGAAGTAAGGCATGCAAGATTTTAACTATTATGAGATCACTAGCTACTAATTACGAATTTATCACAGACAACGCTAGCTTTTCGCCGCCTCAACTATAGCGCCTCTACTGCAACACAAGCCTTATTGGCAACACAGAACTTCCGATCACAGCTTTCATGCCGCCTGGTTACTGGTACGTTTATGTTGCTACAAGAACGAACCATCGCGATGACACTTTCTCACAGAACGTGCCACAAGGTGGAGATAATGTGTTCACAAAGGCGTTTGATCGCTCTCGCGTTCGCACGTTTGTATCGAGACAGCGCAGTGCTAGTAAGGCGGATCATGTAAAATACACTGTAAATGCAGCAAAGGAAAACAAAAAAAAAAAAAAAAAAAAACACGCAGGTGATTATCTGCTACCATTGAGTCACACACACTTAAGGTACACCTCATATCTTCGGATTGCTTTTTTTTTCTCGTTACCGCTATTTTCTGGAAACATAACTGAATTCCAATGTAGGGAATTTCCAAGCCTTGAGATTAATAATGTACATAAGAAATGTTTCGATCAATAATAAGTTCAACTGAACCAAAAAAAAAACACAAGAAGTTCATGACTCGTTCACATAGTGGACGAGTTCCTAGAGTTGAATTTTACGAACGAAACATTATTAGAGGAGATGAGGTCGGGAGCTCGCCGAAGCGTTTTTGCTCTACCACCAACGGCAAGAATAGAATTAATAGAGCGAGTGTAAAAAAGGAACCGAAACACATTATGTAATAAACGTGTAGGATCTTTACAGACAATCATCTGACTCATTGAGCAAAACGTTAGTTAGTGATGAGAAAGCTAGATGATATAAAATGCACGTACGTAACACTCGTGTTGTGTACAGGAATTAGTGGGTAAACAACTGCAAACATACTAACTAAAATTAACTGCACTGAAATGCAGCAGCGGCGCCGACTTTAGATGCGAAAGCGGCGCTTTTGTTAGTTGCTACGTGAGTCTAGGAAATAAGTTAATAAACGGCAGGGAAGAATGACGCAATTACTATAACAGAATGTTACTAATTAAAATCGATACGTCGACAACTGGAGTAACAACTGCAGGTATTCATATTATCACTTATTAAAGAAGTCTATGGACTCGCTGCTGTGTTGATGAGCTCGTGGCCTTTCAAACAAAACAAATTCAATTTCATGTCTTCTGAAGCTATCCGAGGATGCTAAGAAATGAGCAACGTGGAAGGAGTGAGGGCTATATTCAGTACAATTTTCTGAACATAGCCATACTTTGGGCATACTCAATTTAATTTATTGCTATTAAATGCAATCAACTTTGGCAATGTTCCCGAAAATTGTCTATAATACAAGAGATGTCACGCATTGCGATCTTCGACTTCAGAAAGTAAGAATCAACGCTGCGTCAGAAGAGAAAAATGCGAGGCTTCGCTGGCGCTTGAACAGCAAGCACGAGGATGGCACAGCTGGCGACACGTCAATCAGTGGCACGTCAATCAGTGCCACGTCACTCAGTGGCCCGTTAATCAGTGCCACGTCACTCAGCGCCAGGCACGACCCTGGAGCGCAGGTAGCTCATTATTTCGTTGGTGCCCTTAGCGATGATAGCGGCGCGCGGCACGCGGAAGGGGTTACCCTCCACCAGCAGACTCCTGCGCACATTGACCAATATTAAACTTACAATTCAGTTATTCATGGAGAAAATTAGTTCAGTCGCTACATAGAGGAGACTGAAAAAATGTAATGCAAGTAATCCATGCAAGTCGTTTTAGCGCTCCAGAAAAAAAATTTAAGAATTGTAAGTTCATCATGCGCACTTCTGAGAACGATTTTCGAGATAACTTAAGTATGATCAAATCAGGAGTAATATTAGCAAAATTAAAAATTACATCAATAAAAATCTAAGAAATGCATTGTTGAAAATTTTCTGAGAGTCGGTGTAGAAAAATAAATCTCAAGATTCAGAGAATAAGTAGTATAATGGTTTGCTAGCCCTTCAGCTATCAAGCTATTTCGCACCGGAGCTCAACATTTAACATCGCCTGCAGGCGGGACAAGGTGACATCCAGGGACAGGTGACAAGGAGGGACAGGTGAAAAGCAACAGAAACGAAGACACTCGAACAAGAGGTCGCTTACACGGGACGTCGGCCGCCCGCACGAGAGAGACGGAGAAGGGAAATGTAAGGAATCCTACCTACATAATAACTTAACCCCACAAATGAGACCTGCAGTCAGACACCGCGAGCTCAGCGGTGGGGCGCTCAGGAACAATCCTCCTAGGAGCGCGAAATCCCATAGGACTTCTGACGAGCACAGACACGCGTCATAAGTCCCCCTGAGGAGTTCCGAGACAAATCATCTCTCTAGTAGATAAAAGTTATAGCAATAACGAGCAGACTTCGGACCAGAAGCATTCACACCGTCGTGTGCCACACAAACAAGAATGGTCGAGTCTTCTTTGCCAATGAACGAACGAGGACTTAAAAACAGTTTCTCAAAAGATCAAAATTTTTCACAAGAAGCAGTTGCTACGACCCGAGCAGTCGTGGACGGATGTCAGGGCTGGTTTTAACAACTTCAAAGCGCTCACAAAATTGAGACACTAGCCTGATCTGAGTGACGTTGCCGAGGGTTGGTGGGAGGTAGCCGATGTTGTTGTTGTTGATGTGGAATGTGGCGATGCGCGGCCAACTTGCGACCAGACTCACGTCAACCTGATACATGAGATCAAGTTGGGGTGTGCCACATACAACTCAAGTTTCGGCATTCGACATACAACTCAAGTTGTGGTGTTCGACATGCAACTGGGATTGAAATATTCAATTCACCTTCAAAGATTATAAGGATCAACCAATATATCAATAGAAAGAGACAACACGTGCCTTAAAAGTTTTGAAATTCCAACGCATCAGACAGTGATGGTATTAATGAACAAAGAAAATAGTTACATAAAGTTTTGAAGTATTAAAAATGGTCATACATATTGGCCCTCTCTCAAACAGATAGATTCTAAACAATTTTATCATAAATGCGATGACGTGAACATGATGATATACAGTAATCCTCTTACTTCGCAGAGAAAAACCTTCATAATTTATCAGAGTAAAACCAAACTCGAGCGAGCCAACAAATAAGCGAGCCAACAGTAGCGGTGGATTAAATACTTTGTGCTCATTCATCAGAGAAGAATTAAAGAAGATGAACCGTGTACACTAAATGTGGGTGGTTACATCCACACCCACCTCAGTGATGCGGTTGTCCCCTGCAAAGAGAATTTCAAGGCTTTGGGACCCACGCAGGCACTCGGGCAGCGACGTAAACCTGCGGAAATAAATGTTAATGAGACTGGTCAGCAAGTTGGCTGAACGTGTGGCTCTGCTCTGTGCGTTTGCAGAATAACGAACAGGTTTAGGGTGCGGTGTAGTTTCAGAGCAATTTTAAAGCAATTTTTAAACAGAACAGGAAAAAATAATAATAATAATAACAGAAAATAAGCAATTTTTAAACAGGAATTAAGGAATCACAATGAGTTTGTCCTGGTCTGTATGAGCGCCCGACCTGTTGTGCGTCATGTTGAGCTCCCTGAGGAACTTGAGGGCGCTGAGGTCAGGCAGCGCATCCAGTCTGTTGGCGTGCACGTCGAGGAACACGAGATGCGTGAAGGTGGCCAGGTAGGAGGGTAGGCACGTGAGGTGGTTACACGACACTACCAGCTCTTTCACGTGCCCTGACAGCTCTGCCAGCCTGGGGGCAGGTAAGGGAGGCAGTTACACGACACTACCAGCTCCTTCACGTGCCCTGACAGCTCTACCAGCATGGCATACAAGGTAGCCACCCAGGCGAGTGGAATTAATAATGCAATGTCGTTAAGCGGCAATCTGAAGAAATAGGACGGTTCAAATTCGTGAATTACGACCTATTCTGACGTCGAAACTTGAACAGTATCGCAATTAACAACTTGAAAGTGAAAATAATAGATTGTCGAAAACAAAACATTAATATGTTGTAGACTTAACAATTATCAGCTTTTTGACTAAATTTTTATCAATAAGCAAATGAAATAGTTCAGGTTTAGGCAAGAGCGAAACCTATGAGGCAGCTGCGTCAAAGAAGTTCCCAACAAGTTTCAAGTTACCAGTTTCACTGATGTTCCTGCCTGACCTGACATTAACTAGCACGTGCAGGTAAGTTAGACACAAGACGCACTTATCTGGCAGCGCAGCGAGCGTGTTCCCCGACAGGTCTACGGCGGGCACCTCGGCCTCCACGGCGCTCTGCAGCAGCTCCTCGGGCACGCTGGCGGCCTTCTCGCTGTACACGAGCTGTGTACATACATGCACTTAATCTTACGTGAATGTTGTGCTAATAAACTCATCTTCAAACATGAATACTCAAGTGAAAAATCAAGTGAATCATGAATACTCAAGTGAAAAATCAAGTGAATCATGAATACTCAAGTGAAAAATCAAGTGAATCATGAATACTCAAGTGAAACTCATCTTCAAGTGAGCATGCATTTTAGCACGTGGAAAATCTTACGCGAAAATGAACATAATGGTGACGGAAAAGAACGAATAAAAATCATGACGAACGAATGCTCCTTTCTTGCGTCCTGTAAGAAAAATTTCTCATAGTTACAATTATTTAGCGCAGTAACTATAATCCACAGTAGTCGCCAGCATCTATAGTAGTCGCCAGTATCCATAGTAGTTTTTAGTTATTCTCGACAATTTGCACCAGAGTAATCTCGCGTCGGCAGTTTGCAAGTTTCAAATTTCTCACATACCGATACTTTTTTAATGGAAGGCCTCACGAGCGCAAGAATTGTGGACAAATCATACATGCCACCAGGTACCATTCGTTAATGAAAGATTCGTGTAGTGTTCCTTGATATTTACTCAAAAGTAATTTTGAAACCAAACCAAGGACTTCGTATAACAGACAGCGATCAGATTAACTAGATAACATTTTAGTGCAGTTAACTCATACCTGCCTGGTGTTACGCAGCACTAGCGTCATACCTGGCTGGTGTTACGCAGCACTGGCGTCATACCTGCCTGGTGTTACGCAGCACTAGCGTCATACCTGCCTGGTGATACGCAGCACTAGCGTCATACCTGCCTGGTGTTACGCAGCACCTAGCGTCATACCTGCCTGGTGTTACGCAGCACTGGCGTCATACCTGCCTGGTGTTACGCAGTTGCCACTTGTCAGGCAGTTTGGGCAGACGCTCCTCGGCCGCCTCCTTGAAGGTGCCGCCGTCAGGGTGGCAGCTGTCCTCGCCGAAACCTGCAAGCAACGAATGTCATGCACGCTGTTTGTCATCGGCCGGAGCTGCTACAATCTAACTCGATATTTAGAAACTGTCATTCTATATTGTCAGGGGCAAACGCTCACAGATTAATGGCGAGACAAGATATAAATTAATGCCAGACCACTGGGCTCACTTAATTTCAACAACAATATGTTCTCATTTAATTCAAATCCTAAAACTCGGTCATTTATTTATCTAACTCCAGTCAAGTACTGGTTCTATGGCAATTGGTTAAATCATAATGGGGTTCACAGAGAGAAATTCATTGTTTCACTGCAGTCAAAATCGCATTTGAACCCATAAAATTTAAAAAGTTTTTTAAGCTTCTTTAATAGAATTCATTCACAAGTTTGAAGACTACAGCTCCAGTCTCACGAGACTCACCAGGGTAGGAGGAGGGAGGCCACAGCTGCAGGGTCTCACGAGACTCACCAGGGTAGGAGGAGGGAGGCCACAGCTGCAGGGTCTCGCGAGACTCACCAGGGTAGGAGGAGGGAGGCCACAGCTGCAGGGTCTCGCGAGACTCACCAGGGTAGGAGGAGGCAGGATTGGGCAGCTTGTCCCTGAGGTGCTGCAGGAGCTGTCGTGTGCCGCGCTGCACGATGTCACGGCGCAGCAGACGCAGCGGGTTGCCCTCCAGCGGCATGGAGCGCAGGTGCGGCAGCAGTCCGAGGTGACAGGGAACGCTGTACGCAAACTCATTACTTACTACGAGACGTGGTTTGAAGTAAGTACAGTTTGACTTGAAAAAATTACATTTTTTTACGAAAAAAAGAGTATTTTTTTTCACTTGAAAGGTCATACTTTACTTTACTTTACTTTCTCCGTAATTTCCATTAATATTGAGGCATTTATTGGGTCTTGGGACCAGGTTTTGTAAGCCATCGTCAAAGAAACTTGCAGGCTGCAGCCAGATTATACAACCAATGCTTTACAGTCGTTTTCACTTAGTCATCTAAGAATGGCGCTGCTCCGCCAGATGCTTCGTCAAGTGCATAAACAAATATTGATGAATCGCCATAATAACCAAAAATGTCATACCTAATACCTACTACATTTGCTTCTAACAACGAAATCTCTTAAATTGACGGTTCGGGTTTAGTTATTGATTAAAAAGTATCTTTCACACTAGGAACACAAAACTAGTTTGCAATCGCAGTCCCCGCGTGTGAAGGAAGTATAAGCAGTACCTGGAAAGTGTGTTGTTGGCGAGGTCGAGACGCTCGAGCATCTGCAGGAGGGTGATGTCGTCAGGCAGCTCGTCCAGCTTGTTTTCCCGCAGGTCCAGCACCCGCAGCCCCCGCAGGCCCCCCAGCACTTCGCTGCTCAGCTCCTGCACAGCGACTGTACTATCAAAACTCGCTTAAGACCTTATGATCTTATGATGAGTTCGGGACTTCCAAGTCCCCGGTCATGCAGATGCGTCGCCTTCGTCGTCCTCCGTCTCCAAGTCGTCGCTAGGCAGGTCACCCAGCCCTCGGGTCTAGGCGCTACGAGTCTTAAGGACGCGTAGCGCCCAAAGCATACGTAGCAGTAGATTTCTCGTCTGTGATTGCTGGGTCTAGCTTGTTAAGTCGTCACGGATTGCATGACGGAGTTATGAACTCTTAATTACTGTTGATATTATGACTGCTAGTGATAAACACAAATCAAGCTATAACAAAATAGCGGGAACAAACATAAACTTATGACTATGGGATGACGTCGGACAAGGAGCAGGAGCATAGTATCCTCATGACAGTCATTCAAATTTCGTTAGTTGAATATCAGCCTCCTTCTTTACAGTCCATGCATGAACAGTAATAACGTCATCAAAAACATGGGATGATTGAACATATAATCTTCAATAGAAATATTCCTAAATCAAGCCTTGCATGGACAGCGGTTGGAAATAATAGACGAGGCTAAAAAAACTCTACCCGACAAGAAACATATATAAGCGATGAAATGGCTATGGCTTATGGCTATATCTTGCCTGATCTTTCGATTATGATGATCATTATCTTTGACATATTTGTACCAAAACAACATTCTTAATTAAAATTATTTTAGAGATCATTCGAGCAGCGATTAAGGCTCAATAAGCCTCGGGCGTAACTATGAAGGCAACTCCAACGAGCATAACTGCATGGAGATCTGACACGAGAGGTAAGGTACGATTTAAATTTATGCTGTTTAATAGCTCATTATGGCTGTGGCGTGCTGTATGCTGGTACCTTAAGGCTGTGGCGTGCTGTATGCTGGTACCTTAAGGCAGTTGTTGGCGAGGTGTAGCTCCCTAAGGCTGGGAAGGTTGAGTTCAGGCAGTTCGGCGAGGCGGTTGTGGCAGAGGTACAGGCTCGTTAGCTTGCACAAGTTGCTCAGCGAACTCGGCAGTTTACTCACGTCGTTGTAGTTCAGGTTCATTTCCTGTAAAGCTGTAATGTAGGAAAATGGGCATCGAAGTTCAACATGCAAAAATGCTATGTTGCAGTTTCTTTTCAATGATTGTGATTTTAAACTAGTTGCGGACCAAATTAATCGAATTTAAATCTTACTTAAATATCACAACGGTGTTCCTTTTGTGATATTTAACAATGGCACTAGCAGATCGAAAAGACTGTTAAATGAGTATCTACAGTAGGATTTAATAAACAAATTGATTTTCAGTCTCCCATGCAGGGTTGGCGATTTTTTTTAAATCAAAAAAATAAAAAATCAATGATTTATTTGATTTTTTCATGAATTTTTTTATTTATTTGATTTTTTCAGCCTTTTTGTATTTGTGATGTGTTATTTTTTATGTTGTAATTAGCCTACTAACAATAACAGTACATGGATCATAATGGATGGCTAAAAAGGGCACTTATTACCTTCAATAATGGCCAACAGGCCAAGGTGGTATTCACCACTTAGGGGTTTTTGGGTAAACAATTATTGGTAAGTCTATTCATTAGCTTTGTAAAGTTTGTATGGAGCAAGGTAATGAGCTAAATATTGACCATTTAACTGGCTTCAATATACAAAAACACTTCAGGAATGCGGATCTTCTAAACATTGAAAGTCACATAACAGATAGGTAGCTGATAGCACAGTGCACAGCACTATCAATAGATCTACTAGTTTTATGTCCTATAAATCTACCAGACTCTACCTTCTATACACACTGACTAGTAGTGACTGAGTGACTGACTGCACTATATAAGCAGTTAAGCTCTTAAGGTGATGCATATCCAGGGCCAAAAGTTATAGTTCTCTGTACAAATATTACAGTAAATTGCCCAAACTTTGCCAGTTGGAGGCAATTGGGGGCATTTGGAAAATTAGCGACCCGACGTTGCGAACATCACGCGAGGTCAGGCGCTATGCATTCTGGACACACTGATTGATTCTGGACACATTGGTTTATTCCGGACACAATTCTGGATCCACTATTTTATTCTGGACGAAATTTCCAATTTTGGATACTTTGAATGATTCTTGATACTCAATATGATTCCAGATATCTTAATCTCTTCTGAACACTATAATAAATTCATGACATACAAATCAACTTTGGACACATGAATTGATTCTGAACCCATTAATCGATTGTACACTTATTGATTATTTAAGAACACATAATTTATTCTGGTATTTCATAATAGAAGAATCGTCGTTTCCCTAACAAAATTTTCATGCCGCTCTGACCCTCCATCAGGTGCCGCCATGGACTCCGGGAGCGCGTAAATCAGCCGCTAATGTCCGCCTCGGCCGGGCTTGAAGTGCGGTCTCTGGGCAGCTTGTCATACTCTCAGGACACACTTATCATACTCTCAGGACACACTGGTCATACTCTCAGGCAGGGTTGGTGATTCTTTTGATTTTTTTTTAAATCAAAAAATAAAAAATCAATGATTTTTTTTATTTTTTCATGATTTTTTTTATTTTTTTCAGCCTTCTTGTCTTTTAGAAGTGTTATTTTTTATGTTGCAATTAGCCTACTAGCAATAACAGTATATGGATCATAATGGATGGCTAAAAAGGGCACATATTGCTTTCAATAATGGCCAACAGGCCAAGGTAATGTTTACCACTTAGGGATTTTTGGGTAAACAATTATTGATAAGTCTATTCATTAGCTTTGTAAAGTTTGTATGGAGCAAAGTAATGAGCTAAATATTGACCATTTAACTGGCTTCAATATACAAAAACACTTCGAGAATGCAGATCTTCTAAACATTGAAGAGCCACATAACAGATAGGTAGCTGATAGCACAATGCACAGCACTATCAATAGATCTACTAGTTTTATGTCCTATAAATCTACCAGGCTCTACCCTCTAAACACACTGACTAGTAGCTGTCTCTTATACACATCTAGATGTGTATAAGAGACAGGAGCGCGCCTCATTATAGCTTGTAAGATGAGCTGACGCCTTGAATTTCCTTCATTTAAATAGCAGAAGGCTGACGTAATCTTCTGATGCACGATACATTGGACGTCTCGATAGACGTCACTACAAGGAAGAATGTGGTCTCGGAACTCGGAGAATTTCTCTATAGACGCCTGGCAAAGATTAAATACTGAATTAAGAGGAACAAATACCTGAATTTTCCGTTTCGAAGCTTAAAACACTTGTTACAGTAATAGACGTAGTGAAGAATTCTTCATAAAAACATGCTGTCTATAATGTGTTCTATCGAATTAGAATTGATAATTTACTATGGAACGAATTTCCGAGCTTCATCATTCATGATCTATCGTGTAAGTAATGATATATTCATGGTAATTCATGCGATACGTAAAGTGGTTATGAAAATACGCTCATATGTTGTATTGTTGAAATATATCATGAGTTCTCTTGGAGCTTTACAATCAATATACCCTTTGAATAAAATTTCAGAAGTAGTTACTGGACCACAAAGTTGAAAAAATCTGCAGCAAATTTTATATAGTATACAAT